GGGGAGGCGATATCAACGAAGCCGAAGTGGATTGGAAGAGAAGTACACTTGTGGGTGGCTGGGTGGTTGAGTGTCTCTGGAATGCGTGTTCAAATGAATCAAACAACCCTGAAAGCAGTGAATACTCAAGTTTGCTATACAGAGCCCGTTTGATCGTATGGAGGGAGCGTGGTGGAGCTGGAACACCTTATGCGGTGATAAAATAAATCAAAATTTTATTTGGAAATGCAGGCAAGCTGAAAAACAAAGCAGACGCATAAAATGAATGCAACAAAATGAAGAATAAAATAAAAAATATGCTACAATTGTACACATTGAAGAAACAAAATAGGAGAAATGAAAAACAATACAAACAAATGAAAATGCAGAAACAAAATGGCAACTGTGTAATTTATTACTTCAGTTAAGAGATGGCAGTGCAGCGGAGGTGTGTGGGGGTGCTGTCAACCTCTGCCAAATAAATAAAATATTGCGCAAGGGAAACGAGAAGGTGGGCACTACATACATACATATGTATATACTATGCTGGTGAAACGCACTGAATGTAAGATTTGTGAAGTGAGGTGGGAGTGGGCGAAAAGGCCGTGAGTGGTGTTGCAAGTAACGAGAAAAAGGCACAAGTAAACAGCGAGGCATTTTGGTATTTATTGTACCTACTTGTATTTAACCGCTGTTGGTTTTAGTTGTTGTTTTTGTTTTGTCTGCCATAGCTGCTGCAGTGAATTTTGATGAGCTTTGCGAAGTGCTTTATTTCCGCATTTGGTATTCTTATATTTTTCTTTATTTTGTTTTCTTATTTATTAAATTGCTTATCTGTTCAGCCATACCTACTCGTATGTGAGTATGTACATATGTCTGTACATAAATAGAAATGAATGTGCGTTTGTATGAAATAAGTAGGGCTCGGAATCGAATGCACTAAAAAATCGAAAATATGCGCTATGAACAAGTAAAATGACCAATTAAAAATATTTTCCTAGTATTTTATTGCCGGTGCAAAAACAAATAGCAAGTTGTATTTTAACCAGAAAATAACGAAAACAATTCACTTCAAAATACAATACATATATGTATATGTATAAAACTAGTTTATAATCAAGCAAACAGTTACAGTCTTGTGTAAATACATGGAAGCATTGACAGTGTAATAGTTTGAGAAAGTTTGCCATTTTGATTTTTTAACGAACTCCAATACGTCATACAGAGAGAGGCAACAGCACTCTAAACCATTCTGCATGAATGGCTTTGCTCATTCATAAGAGAGCTTTGGTTTTTGCAGGGTAATCCTTGACGATCCTCTACGGTTTCCCCTCAGCTCGATCTTCGAGTGATACATTTCGGTAACTGTTGCTTTTATCTCTCTGAGCGAGGCGCTCATATCCGACGCTGGATACACATTCAGTGCGGAGCCGCACCTTGCTAGTTTGTCCGCTGCCTTGTTTCCGTAAATGTCCATTTGTCCCAAAATCCACATTAGGGTAATTTCATGTTGATCAGAGAAATAAGCCAGCTCTCTCCTACAGTTTTCCACTTGTTGAGATCAAAAAGAGGTAGAAGGGGATTTTTTTATCAAGAGTTTTCGCACTAAATTTTAACGATTGTAAATCAAAAACAAAAATATGCAATAGCTAGATGCATTTATTGTAAAACATGCTTAAATATGCAAAAGCAGGTATGTTATTGCAAAATATGCAAAATTATGCAAAAATATGCACTAACTGTTGAATGCCATTTTGAAGAAAATTTCATGATTTGCAAAGATAACTTAACCATTTCCATTTGAAAATGCCCAATAAAAACATGAGTTTGCATGAGATTCCGAGCCCTAATAATAAGCTACCATAGGAATGGGCGTTTCATTTCAATTTCGATTCATCTCTTGTTCTTGCTTTTTCGCATTGCAATTTCGCATTTATATGTAGGTATGTATGTTTGTGCGTGCTTATGTACAGAGCCATTATGTTTGCGCTTTATAAGTACTTTTGCCTTATACCAAAATATGTATGCATGTAGGTACATATGTGTGCGAACGTGTTCGACGCCATTTTGTTCATGTTTTTTTCTTTTTTGTGTCTGTTTCAGTCTTAAGTACTCTTGTCATACACTTCAAGCATTTAAACGTGTCCACGCTTGTTTATCTTTCATTGAAATTTAAAGTGTTTTAAATTTATGTACATAAATATTCGCATACAAACATATTTATATTTGTGAGCAAATTGAAAATTTATACATATGAAAATGTCACATTATAGAGCTCTGTTCCAGTCCGGATTGTAGGGGAATGAATATTTTTTGTCGACTAAGTTTTGTCAACGGACTTGCCTTCTTGCACGATGGATTCCTGTGTTGCCGGCTACAACAGATCCTGACAGAAAAAAATAAATAGATAAAAATACGGAAAGTGTTTTGGTCGCCTTATTGCATTTTACGTAGGAAGAAAATTGTGGACATTATCAACAATATTAAATTTCACTTATAATTGACGAAAGTATCTACTGATGTAAGCAAAAAAGTGTTTAATGGAAGACGTCATTTAAAGGACAAAAAATATGATATATAAGTAAAATGTTATTAAAATGTCATTATCATGTTTTTATTTTAAAAGATTAAATATGCAGAAATACATATTTAAAATAAACGAGCTATAAATGCAAATCGTACGATTTAAAATCCGTGCGATTTGCAAACAATTTTTGAATATTTGTAAGGAAAGTAAAAAATATTTCAAATGGGAACGCGATTAACACATTACTAACGTCATATCCATCGATTCAGTGCCAAATATTGCCTTTTTCGTACGATTTGCGGCACATGCCCGAATAATCCATTTGTATCTTTAGCTACGGTTTTATTTATTTTTTACTACGATTTTTCGAGCTTTTGTTACGCAATCGGTTTCGTGAGGGCCAGCACTGGTATCGGCCATCAGTATTTACTCAGCAATTTTAGGCCACATGAGTGCCTGGGGCCAAATTTGACTCCCCGGCGCGCCGGTTTCATTTATTCAGCCCGTAAGAGAGAAGAGCTTTCCAGCTAGCTCTAACTTATAGCAGATCAACTGCTAGGGCGATATAAACGTCTATCCATCAGTCGAAACGGATAACCTTCGAAGAGCAATACGTTCGTCACAGCTTCACAAAATGGCCCGTGCAGACTCAAGCTGAGTCGACGAACGTTACTTTGTATAATCTTAAACCGGTGGCAGAACTGTTTTAAGCTGCATACTGTTATGCCGCTGCTTACGACTTATGGTTTTTTCTAAGAAGATTTTTCATGCGATTAATGCGGGCATACTTAGAGATTTACCATTGCCTAACGCGAGGCTATTAGAAAATAGGGATGCTGGTCGGAACAAAAATAGAACTAGGACCGCACGGTATGATAGTACGCATTGCTAGGCACTCCATTGCGGATTTTCAAATATTCACACTTTATATCCGGGCGTAGAAGAATATGGATTTGAAGTCGAAGTTTAGACGTTATGAATTTGACTTCGATCTGCGAAGGTTTGGTGCGTGTTTATACAAGTTCGACGTTAGTTTCAGACCGTCTGACACAATTAATTTGCCTAAAACTTAATAGATAATAATTAATTTTTTGACGAAAATTAAATTGATAAAACTCAAGCAGAATTCACAATAAATTCTTTGTTTACTTACACCATTTGCATATTCTTAAATAATAATACAAATTTTTCTTTCTCTTTCCAGGTGTGGTTCAAGAACCGTCGCGCCAAGTGGCGTAAGCGTGAGCGCAATGCGATGAATGCGGCTGTTGCCGCCGCCGATTTCAAATCAGGCTTTGGCTCACAATTCATGCAACCATTTGCTGATGACTCACTCTACTCATCATATCCCTACAATAACTGGACCAAAGTACCCTCGCCGTTGGGCACGAAACCCTTCCCGTGGCCGGTCAATCCGCTCGGCTCCATGGTGACCACCAATCATCATCAGAATTCGGTGAATTGCTTCAACACCGGCGCCAGCAGCGTTGCGGTCAGCATGAATAATTCCATGTTGCCGGGCACAATGGGTTCCACGCTAACCAATACCAATGTCGGTGGCGCTCCATGCCCCTACACTACGCCTGCCAATCCGTACATGTACCGCGCCGCCGCCGAACCGTGCATGACGTCAAGCATGTCATCGAGTATCGCCACACTACGCCTGAAGGCCAAACAGCACACCACCGGCTTTGCTAGTCCCTATTCAGCACCATCGCCGGTGTCGCGCTCCAATTCGGCGGGTCTGTCGGCATGTCAGTACACCGGCGTAACTGATGTTGTTTGAGAAAACGCCCTCGGGGCATTGCTTAATCAACATCAACATCATTTACATCACTTCTCCGCTAGTAGTGGCGCCGGTGTTTCATCTCACTCGCCAAATATTAACAACAATTTACATCATTTACACAACAATAATAATAACAACAATAACTTGTTGAATAACAACAACCTGCTGCTGGACCATAATGGTGATCTGAGTGTGGGTGTAGGTGGTTTGGTGGGCAACCACAGTAGCCATAGTAACAAATCGCCGCTGGGACATCAGCACAGTGATATGGGGGATGGCAACGGTGGCAGAGGTGGCAATGGTGGAAATGGGGGTGGTGGTGGTGGCTCAAACAACGCTATGCTAGGACAGAATGTCAACAATGATGGTGGCGAAGAAG